TAATAATATTACTAAAATTAATATTTAATATTTTATAAAGAAATTAACAATTATTTTTAATTTCGCAGGCAAATTTGTCTGCTAGACAATCTGAGGGATAGTATTGATATTGATACTATCTAGTATTAATATCATTTCGTTATCATATTAGTATTATAAAAATATCAAATCAATATCAAATTTATAACAAATTGATCTTATGTATATATCATTTTAATATCATATCGACATCTTTTCAATATTGATATCTATATCATATCAATACCATTTTGATATTAATATTGATATAATATCAATATAAATATGATATCAAATTGACTTTGTAACTTTATTGTATAGATATTATATCTATCTCATATTGATACTATTTCGATACTAATATCAATATTGTATTAATATCATATTTATATCAAAATGATATAGTAAAGATAAACTTAACGATTTTTTTAATTATCATTAAAGTATAATAAAGTTATTATAATGATATAGATTCAATATCAAATCAATATTATTAGAATTTTTTTAGTTTTTGTAAAGGAATACTATTTAACATCAGCATTTTGTATTGTATAAATATTTTTAATAATCAAATTAAAAAATCAATAATTATTCAAAACTAACTTACTTCTTTAACTAAAGATTTTTAGCTATATTTATATAAAACAACATATATATATTTGTTAATAAAATTAAATAAATATAATAAATAAAATAATAAATAATATAAAATAATATAATAGATAATAAATTAATTATACTAAGTAAACTAAGTAAATTAATAAGACAATATAAAATATGTTAAGTTTGTTTGATAATTTATATTATCCAGATCTTTCAAATGATTTCATATAATAATAGTTTCATTATTTCATATTTTGCTATGATTTTAGCATAAGTAATTATAAGATTTTAATATAGTTTTATCAAAGTTTTAGTATTTCAGCATTATGGCAAATGAAAAAATCCTCTAGTTTTTTTTAATATTCTTAATGTGTCAGTTTGTTAAATAAAATTAGCAATATTTTAATAAGTCACTCTTTTGTCTATTCAAAAAAAATTTGTCTTAATCAATACCACTATATTAAAAAAATTCTGCAATATAACTATTTTAATACAGTAAATGAACTTATGATTAAATTGGAAGAAAATGATTCTAATCTTAATATTAGAAAATATGATATATTTATGAATTCAAAAATCTTAGTTATATTTCTATTTTTCTAAAAAAGTTTTTTTCTTAATCCAAAATGCAAAGGATTTTTAGTTGTCTTGATCATATAATAATTCACATTATAACTAAAAGAAAGTTATTTATTCTGATGAAATAATACTCCAGATAGTGTTACTGTTCGAAACTAAAATTCTGTGGTTTAGAATAACTGAAACTATACAGAAACTAGTTTTATTTAACCAAAACTAATTTTAATATTTAGAATAGTATCCTTAACTCCAGATATTTAGAAATACCATATATGCATAATCTCATAATATGTAACTAATTGTCTTCACAGTTAAACATCTATTCAAGGTTTATATTTAATTAGTAATTAGTACTCAAGTAAAAATTGACATTTATTAATTTACTGAAAATTTGAATTGTTACTTGTATCAAAAAATATTAATAATCATCTGTATTAATATTGTTATTCGAAATCTATTTTAATGTATAGCTTAAAAATTTAAAAACTATTTTAAAACCTTTAAAATATTTTTAATCTGAAACTTGATGAAATATAATTGAGTTTAGGAAAATCTATTAGAAGTTTAGGTAAAGATATTTATTATAAATAAATAATTTTATCTTAAATATCTTAAAACTCAAATTTTTTAAAAAAAGTTTAGAAAGGTATTTTTAATCTATATGATAACATGAATATGATATGCAGTCATAGCTAGATCATTTAATAAAATAATAATTCATATCTCATGAGATATTTATCATGATTTGAAAAACTATTTTTCAGAACAAGTTCTTTCTTAGCCTTTTTACAGTTCAGACTTGAATCCTATTGAAAATATATGGATTGTATTAAAAGAAAAGGTAAAGAAAAAGGTCAAATATTTAATAGCAAAAAAATATTATCTGTAACATATTCTTTAATACAATTTAGCATGATTTTGATAATGCTGTATTTTCATCAGTGACTATAATATAGATAGTAAGAAGTATTTTGTTATTTTAATTATATTATAAATATATAAAAGTTTATATTTCATTATACTAAAGATTTTATTTAGAATTTGAATATTTTTTTTTTATTTAGCTTGTTTTATATTAATACACATTTATGTGAAACCTTTGATTTACTTATATTGAGAGTAATTGGTTTTAGTTCTATCTATAATTTGTTTATATTTGTCAAAAAAAAATGATAGATCTTTAAGATGATCAAAATTATGTTGATTATAATAATAATTAGTAAAATTTACTATATTCAACTAATTTAAAATCATATATTGAGAAATAATATGAATTTTGTTTTATTTCAGCAGATATGAGCTATTAAAATGAGATTCTTTTTTAATATTTGCAGAATATGCAAATACCATATAATTATCAATAAGATATAGGAAGGTATTGCCAATATTATAAAAAAGAGGTTATAAACTAGATTATTCAAGGTGAAAATATCATCTTTTCTGCTTGAACTGATATTGTTATTTCTGCTTTTACTTTTATATGTGGGTGAGGATCTTGAGAGATATCATAAAGATCCAAGAAACTTTAATGTATTAGAACTTATAATAAGAAGAATTTTTGATGAGGTGTTCTTCCTTTGTCGATATTTTCTGTAATTTAATGAACCAGTATTGAAGTCGCCCATTATGATGATATGGAAAGATTTTAAGACTAAAATTTATAAGAGTGAATATATGTTTGTGTAAGGTAGCTCTTTCAAGACTCCAAAAAGCGGGTACATATATTGCCATAAATCTAAGGTTTAACTTTTCCTTTAATATAAAGATTCACATAAATGTATCATTGTTCAAGAAAACACGAGTTATATATTTTGATCCTTTTTTTTTAATTAAGAGTCCAACACCTGAATTTTTCATAATCTGAGTACTCCAATAGTCAAAATTTGGATCTAAATGACATTGATATGATTGAATGGTTTATAAAGATTTCATTTCAAAAGTATCTAAAATTTGTTGATTCTTAACAATATCCTGTAAGCAGTAAACATGGTGTGTAGCGAAGATTAATGTAATATTTTGGAAATATCTTCCTATGTTAATGATGCGCGAAATGCTTTTCAAAACAACTGAGTTAATGTTATCGAACTCAACATCCCATTGATAGGCCTGCACACTTTTTGTATTAACCCTCTGCAACATATCTTGTTCACGTGAAGACTTAACGAACATCTCGATAAATATATTCTTTGATTAATTATTAGAGAATTGATTGACTTCCTTGTCCAGAATCATATATCGACTAACAGTTCGTCCTCATGTTTATAGTCATGATTGTGATGTTCGTTCGTTTGTAGATTTTTTTAATTACGATAACTATTATCGTCGGCGAGGATGATGATGATGATGATGATGATGATGATCTTTCTGTAATATTTTGTGATTCACTCTTAAACATTCAGGTATAATTTCTACACGATTAAGATGCTCTGTATATTGATCAACAGCACCATTATGAAATTCGCTATCAGTATCATCATCATTATCGTAATCTTCGTGACGGTTGTATCGTATTCGTCGATAGCCGCGTTCTCTTGGATCTTGACAAAGTGTGCAAAAGAAGTTAATATAACATTGTTTCTTAAATAGATCACGATCACGATTAACGTAATCAATTAATTTACGATCACGTGCTATAAATTTTAAGATTTTATAATTAGAAATACCATACAAATTTATATTTTTATGGTAATAATTTCTTTCCATTGCACAACTAATCATAATGACTTCGTTTATTAGAATAAGAATATCATTAAAATTATTAAGAAGAGTGATTTTAACCAATCATGTGATGTCGACCACCAGCGTCGATAATTTGATTTTACTTTAAGAAAATAGAATGACTATGTAAATATTTGTAAATATGTAAGGGATTGTTATTAGTTCACATTAAAAAAATGATTTTAAAGATTAATACTTACAAATCATATAACACGGGCTACAACTCCTTTGTTTGGAACTATTGATAATATATTTTGCTATTTAATGATTTTTGATGTGGCGCGTGTAACGAAATATATAAATTCTTTTGAAAATTATATTTTTTGCCTTGTAATTTTAAAATTTTGATAAATTTTAAAATATGGTAAAAAACCGATGGTGATTTTTGATTGGATGATGTAGAGTTACACAAAGTCGCACGAACAAACGATGTGTACTTTAATCTTCATTTTCAAAAAATATATAAATGCAGGTTCCCATAATTTTTTAATTATATGAGTTTTTGGTCCATTGAAATGAGAATAATAATAAAAAAAAGCTTTATGAGTTCAAAAGTATTAGTGACAAATCATTTAAAAAAATTATATTTATTATTTATATTATTTACAAGTTGAAGTGACAAGATATAAAAAAAAATATACAATAAGAATTATATAAAAGAGTTCAATACATACAATCTAAGTTTTATATTTTATAATGTACTTTCTAAAAGGAGATAATATTTTTTATCTATATTCTAAATTATTATGATGTTTACATTAAAAAGTTGGTATTAAATATTGTCTCTAAAAAAATTTAGTAAAAAATTCAAGATTAATGAAAGTGCATTTAAATATAAATATCAAAAAAAAAAAATAGCATGAGAAAACAAAAGGAGCTTACCATGATAACTAAATGATATTGGTTTGGCTTCAGATATTTTTAATAAATTATTTGCATAACGGTGTTTTAATCCATTTAACGCTTTTTTATATTGATATTCGGTCAAGGATATATTGGAACTGTTCCTTTGTAATCTAACCTCTCTTAAACAATTCGCATGCCTTGTGATAACTTCCAAATATCTATGGTAACTTTTTGTTATATTATGCAGTGCGAGGATTTTTAATTTAGCTTTACATCTCGACAAGAATACGTCTAATTCGTTTGGATAAATATCAAAATCCAAACCAAGATACGTACAAGACTCGGGTAACGTTAATGCTAATCTTATGATTTGTTCATGAGTAAATCGAGGTTGATTATAAGGTGTTTGTATCGTTAAATGTTCAAGTTGTAAAGTGTTCAATAATTGTTCAAATAATGCAAAATCGGAAGGTATTAATCTGATACATAAGTGTTTGATGTTTGGACAGTAATCACGAATCGTTGTTATGATTAAAGGAGTGAATTGTTTGCTTGTAAATGATTTTAAATTGTGACTTGACATTTGTAATAGCGCATTTATAAAATCCAAAGGTCCATAATCAAAATAATAATAAAGGTGTTGGATGCTTAACGTATGCTTTGAAGGTATTATCGTGAAATTATCATCTTTAATCCAACTTTGAGCAAATTCTAAGGTTTTTAAATTTCTACAAGATCTCAACACTTGAAATAACAAGGGTAAATCTGATAAACCTTGTATTCTCAAATAATTCAGTGATCGTGAATGTTGTAACATGGCTTGATATATTAATTGTGAGTTTGAAGTACTCCAAAATGAATTCACCGAGATGCTTTGCACACATTTTTGTACTCCTATTAAATCCGTTATTGAATGATCGAGCTCTAGATAAGAGTCGCGATTCTTCTTTTTGATGTGAACGGTAATATGTCTCAAGTTTTTCGCTGATGCGGAAGCTTTGGCGAAAAGGTTGAGCCACGCACGCGTAAAATCCCTATCCGCCACGTGCGAACTACGAAATTCAAACCTTTGTAATCTGGTTAACGCTCTAATCACTTCCGTATAAGTCAAGAAATCCACCAAAGTCATGTCATCAGGTACCTCTTTACGTAGGTACCTGAGGTTTTTTAAACCGCGTGATCTACGAAAGATCATATTTCCAATCAACCGAGCCGTGAGTTGAATCAATTCAGGTTCCGGATCACCGGGTAACCAAGCGCGCACGGATGATATGAAATTATCACAATCAAATCCTTGAAGGAACTTTGGATAATAAAAAATTGGTTGAACTTGTTGAGAAGGCATAACAACGTAACTACTTATTAACCGTTGTTTGTCATCTTTTGAGAGACAATTGATGTAAGTATTGATTGCGCGTGATCCATACACCTCTGGATACACGTGTTCAAACGGACGCCGCCAAAGGACGGGGACGGCGAGACGACACCAATGTCGATTTACCCTGATGCAAGAATAAAGCGCAGAAATATCATTTTCTAAAAGTTCAAATACCGCTACGAGACATTCGGGAGGTAATTGTTGTGGACGATTTATTCGAATGAAGAAATTCCGGTTCAAATCTTGGATACGGAATCTCATTGCCATATAATATATAAACAAGACATTTGTTAAATAATCAAACAATCTCAAGATTATTTCATATAACTTCATTGTTAGCGTAATTTTTGAAAAAAAAAAATATTATTTTAAAGTGAATATAAACTTTTAAACATTCTATTACGGGGAAGAGGAGGAGAGAGAAAAAATTAAAAAATAAATTTATAAACCAAAATTAAAAACAAAAAAAAAAAAAAAATTTTTTTTTTCTCGAATTTCTGCTACTATTGATTTACAAATTATATTTTTATATGGTAAATAACACAATTTAATTGAATAGAATAATAATTAAATTATTGAGATAGTTTCTAATTTTTCCATATTTATTAATTATTTTTACGCCTGCATACCTTACATCTTCGTTGATGCGCCTTTGGTTTAGTGTTTAAGCAATCACCTGACTAACATCTTGCAGCATTAATTCAAAAAATAGTTTTATGATGTGTGCCCATTGTTGATGCGTGACGCAGTTACCGCAGCCTCGTAAGAAAAATTTTTTTCTTTTTCTTCTTTTTAAATTAGATGAGCTTGGATTTAGTATGTGCTGTGCGTTTAGGCGGATTACTGCATGCAGATCGTACACAAAAAATTTTTTTCGTGGGGGAATGATAGTGGGGCAATAATGCATTTAGTGCAGTTGAAAAAAATTTTTTATTTTATAAACTGTCAAATTAAGCTTAGATTAAAGTTTTATTATACTTGTTTAAAACAATGACTTCTCCATTGAAAGAACAATCATATCTATATTTTGATACTATAATATTTTAATTTTTGGTAAATTCTTCGATTATCTTGCAAACTTTAAAAAAAAAAAATAAATAAATGACGATTTGCCAATCTCCGTAACTTAATTGTTGTTATTCTAAATGCCGATCTATATTGGCTTAACAAAGCCTTTTTTTTTTTTTTTTTTTTTTTTTTTTTTAACAGTAACCGTATTAAAATAATCTGATAAAAGATAAAGGTGCGGTAAAATCAAATTTCCGTTACCTTCTTTGTGCATTTTGAAAATTATGTCAAATTATGTCAATTTATTTTGATATCCCACAGTTCATAAATGCTATCACATGTCACATGTTTCTTTGGCAAAACTTTATGTATCTTTCTTTTGGGGTTCTCAAATTTATTGTGATGTTCAAAAAAATAAATAAAGAAAAAGGTGAAATTGTTTTGATGATGATCATCACCTCGAGGAAATCATATGAATTGTTTTCTTTTTTTTTTTTTTGCCCTTTTTTTTTCAAAGGGGGTATTTTCGGTTTTATATCTGTTATTGCCGAAAATAGATTATAGATTATTATAGATGGTTGTTGCGCAAAATACGCAAAATACAGAATATTCTAAATCTTCCGCCTTTGTATCATAAATAAAGGTAAATAAAGGCGTCATGCTCCCCAATCAGAAATGTCAAAAATGGCTAAACTCTGGTAATATAATATATTTATTTATTTTTTGTTTTAAATCATTGCATATATATTTATTATGTATTGTGTTAAAAGAAAAGCGAAATTTTGAAAATTTTATTATTTGGATGACCTAGAAAACTATAATAAGCGGGTGTATAATGCAGGTATAATAGGAGGAAATGGTGCATTTTCATAAACTACAATGTTCCTAAACAATGTAATAAATAAATTGTTTTTTTTAAAAAAAAATAGTGGAAAAATTTTTTTCTTTTGTTTTGCAAAACATATTGAGAATATCAGACATAATGTAATAACCATAAGTAGCGTAAAATTATCAAAAGATAAAAAGGTGAAACCAAATTCAAATCCTTAAAATAAGCAATTTGTGTGAAAACTTCCTCATATACGAAAGTCAGGACCAGTTCATGGAAATAAAATTGCCCTTCAAGGTTGCAGGTTACTGTAATAAAACCGTGACAAGGGTTTCATTTGTGTCATATCTAAGACCGGGAGGAAATAATAACGAGAAATCTAGAAATGTTCTCAGCCAATGTAAAATTTTTTGTTAAAGTGATATTATCATTATCAAACTTCAATTATGTAATCATGTATTTTAATTTGGATTGTTTGAAATACTATTTTCATTAACAATATCAAATTTATTACTAAAATTTGATATTATTAAAACTATTCAATCTAAAGATTATAAATAATTCCAATACATATAAAATAATAACAATATCTATTAAACAACTTTGATTTTGATTTTGTTTAACGTCTTCTAATAATCCCATCCTAAATCGATATCTGCGACCTTTTCGGTGTGATTTCTCCTTTGATGCCGTAAAATATCCATGAGACTTATGTTTTAAAATTCGGGTTAAAAAGTAATCATTGGGTGATTTGCATGGAATATTAATTAATTTATTTCACATCATGTCTCGTAACAAGTATTTATCATCTAAATTATTTATGAAAAATCTTTTTAAATATCCAATAGAATCTAAAAATAGATCCCAAACCACATTGTGCAACTGTATCATCACCGCCCATTCTGTAAGTTTTCCATCCTTTAATATTTTCTCTCTTTACCTCTAAAATTTTATCCAACTCAATAACACATTCAAAAGGAACAAAATTCGTTTCATTTCCATTTCCATTTTTGATAATTTCAATTATAAAATTCCATTTCACATTTCTATCACCCATTTGTAATTCATTTTTGGAATATTTTGCTTGTGCAATATCTATCAAGCATTTATTTGTTGGGGACATTATTTATTTTAATGGATCTTATAAGCAGCTTATGAAAATTTTCTAGGTTAATAAGAGGTTATCGGTTAAAAGAAAGCTCGTATTTTGTAAATCGATAGAAATTAAATAAAAAATTCAATTCGATTCTCCTTTTGAGAATAATTAATATAAAAGTGGGATATGTTTTTTGACTTGGAAAAAAAAAGTTTTCATTTTTTAAACCTTCATTCTCAATTTCCATCACAACGCATAAGTTTGTAAATAAATCGTCTCGTCCCTTATATAAATATTATTTCTCATTATTTCATAATTCTGATCACATAATGCTCTTAAAATGATCACATAATGATCATTGTACAACAAACTTCAACGTGGAAGCTCGTGCCATAATTCGGTGGTAACGCAACAACTTTATTTTTGAAGGTTAATATAAAATGACGATCAAATTCAAGGAAAAAATTATCCTAAATCAGAAATTAGATCTAAAGATCTTGATCCATCTAACATCACTCGCATTATCTCCATCATTGACGTTACATGGTAAATATCTGAGATCAAAAGGTTTACATTTTTTTTTTTTGTTTTCAACAAATTTCGATCTCTACTTTTATAAAGCCTTAAGTGATACACGACGTAAAAAAATAAAATTTTAAAAACATTCCCCAATCTGTCATCTGGAATTTTGAATATTATATTAACATTATTACCAATTGTAATTTATTATTTATTACAATGATTATCGAATAAAGTATCTTTTTAATTGAAATAAAAGAACTTTTTTACCAATTTCATCACCATGATAATCTTTTAAAGAAAATTTGATCTTGTTTAAAACTAAAGAAGATAAATTGGTTGAAAGATGATTAATAAAATCCGTCAAGATTTCTTCAGTAATCCCATCTTTATGAATTTTATAAATTTTAATCGATTTTAAATTTTTACAATTCTTAAATATAGGATAAAGTAAACGAAACATTTCACCTTCGATTATAGAAATAATAAAAGTAGAAAGGTTTAAACAAAATCGTGAAATTGTCCTAAAAAGGTTTGAATTATGCTTTAAATCTAAATCTAAATGAAGGTGATTTAATAGAGCGCCATTATTCGTAATCATTGAAATAAAAGGAGAACCTTTACGTGATGATGATTCATAAAACCAACTAGTCTCCACGAATTTAAGAATTTTAAGTTTATAAAATTTAGAATCAAATAATAAAGGATCTAATTCTTGACAAATTCTAACGCCATAAATTGATAACTCATTTAAATTGACACAATGTGATAAATGAATTGCCTCATCGTGCTTGAGATTTCTATGAGAAAATAATTCGAGCTTTTGTAATGTATTCGACTTTCTTGACATCGCTTCAAATAACAAGGACATGTCCGCGTTATATTGATTCCTAATGCTAAGTGATTGAAGGTGTTTTTGAGAATCTATCAGATGAACCAATTCTTTAAGTTTACAATCATCAAATATGTTATTATTCGATATGGTAATGGATAAGGTGTTGATGTTTTGCATATAATCGGAAAATAGAAGGAATATCGTGGGGTCAATATTCGGTTGATAACATTTGAAAGTGGTCAAATGTTTAAAGCATTCGTGCTTTAATAAATAATTCTCCATATATTCTGAATATACATTGCCAATACGTAAACATTCAATGTTTACACAACTTTCCACGATAACATTTAAAATGGATTGAATTACTAGAGAGAATTTTTCTTGAAAAGGTTTTGAATCGAATGAAGATTTTGATTTAAATATATTTTTAAATAAATTAAATTTAATCAGTGATCCAATAGAACTTGTATTATTGTTACGATATAATGTAAAGAATGTAGGTTGATATACCCTGGAACGTCCGCTACGTTTTTGATTCTTTAATTTCTTTGGTTTCTTTGATTTAGAAGAATGTTTTGTTATCCATTCTAAAACAATATTAGCCAAATTATCCGAATGAAGACTTTTAAGAAAGCTAGGATAATTAAAGGATGGCGCGATGGCCGAATATAATTCATCCTTGTTCACATCAAAGAAATAATGAAAAATCGAAATTAATTTATAACGGTGTTTAAAATTATCAGGAATATTAAAAGGTTGTTGCCAAAGAAACATAATACCATTCTGACACCATTTACGATTTATTAAAATGGCTGCATGAAATGTATTATAGTCACTTTTCTTGACGTGTGTTAAAATATTTTGGATACATTCGTTGGGTAAATTCACCATTATTGCTGAAAGACATTTTCTAATAATGAAATTTAACGGAGTTTTAAAAAAAGTTAATTGTTACATAATATGCAAATTATGTAAATTTTAATGCAAATCATATAAATATCAATTTTTTACGCATTTATTTCACGGATCTTCTGTAATACAACCTTGAAACTTATAACATCTATATAAGGCAAGGCCTATAAATGTAAATGAGAGTTTCGTTCTTATCAAAGACCCCACAAAGAAAAGTAAACACGCGACTGCTCACCCAAAAATTACTGCGTCGCACCATTGCTGTGCGCCTTGCGCTTTAGTCTTCTGAATTTAATGACAATATGATATATAGTATATAATCAAGTTTATTGTTTCATGAACAATTAGTGAGAAAGTTTCATTAATAATATTATTTGTTACACGACCTGATAAAAAATAAAAATAAACAAAAAAAAAGGGAACAAATGAGTTTTCGCCGAAAAGATACTGTACATGGTTTTATTTTATAACGTCCAAGCATAAGCTCCTAATTTAGGTTCATTCATTTTTTTTTTTTTTTAAAGAAAAAAAAAAGGTATTGAATTGACATGTGATTCTGTAACAAATTCTACGTTCATTACGCCACTGCTTTCAATAGATTGGCGAATCACATGATCTGAATTGCATAGGGTTGCATAATTCATTGTCAATTGAATGATCAAGCTTTACCAAAAGCGTACGATCAACAATCTCGTACATTCACATATAAATTAAAAATTATGTTGGTTGGCTAATTCCTTATTTATCCTTGTTTTTTTTCTCTTCAATTCTTCTAATTTATTTATATTAACGAGATGTCATTTCATTTACTCAAACTTTCGCGTGACTTTAACAAAATTTTTGAGACTAAAGCTTTTTATGATGTTATTATTCGTGTAGGACTTAAAGGAAGTAATGATGCTAAAGAATTTCAAGCGCATTCACTTATCCTTCGGGCTAGAGTACCTTATTTCCATCAATATTTACAAAGTGACCAGGCAAAGCAAGAATATGATAAAATCGTCATCACCGATCACAATATTTCTCCTGCAATTTTTGAAATCATTCTCAAGTAAGCCAATCAATCATTACGCGAAATTTTCGTTTTTCTTGAATTTTTTTCTGAACATTTTTTTTTTTTTTTATCGTTTAGATACATATACACAGGTAAACTTGAATTCATGAATTGTGATGGAAGGCAAGCATTTGATTTGCTCTTTGCTGCAGATAATCTTGGACTTGAAGAAGCATTGGCTCAAATTCAAGATTATTTGATTAATCAACAAAGAGTATGGATGGATAAAAATTTCTATTCACTTCATAGATTAATATATAGTAGAAAATCTCTTAATATCATACAAAATCATTATACGACAAGAATAGCATCCAATCCTTCATCAGTATTTGAAGTACCAGATAGTTTTAACTCACTTATTTTATCATCGCTTGATGAACTTGGATGTCTAAAATTAAACGAAACCATTTGGGGATTTATCGTTAATTGGGCAAAATTACAAAATCCAGGACTAACTAATCATGTTACAAATTGGAGGAAAGTTGATTGGGAAGAATTTAAAGAATCTTTAATCCCGTGTATTCCGTGGAAAAGCATCATGAATTTAAATTGGGATGAATTTCATGATCTTTTAATTCCATGTGAACCATTCCTACCAGCTGAAAAGTTTAATACAGTTCTAACGCAACAATTAAAAAAAGCGTGCTCATCTTTCTCCATCATCAAATCACCGATTTCATTACAGTTTAATGAAACGATTCTTAATATTTGTCATGCGACTTTGATTTCTAGTTGGATTGATAAAGTTGAAAACAAACCATATTTACCAGCAGAAATTCCTTATGAATTTAAATTAATAATACGTGGAGATCGTGATGGATTCTCTCCTGATTTATTCTATTTAAAATGTGGAAAGCTTCAAAAGACCGTAGTAGTATTTAAAATGATGGAGGCCGTTTATGGTGGTTATAATCCATTAGATTGGAAATTTGATCACTCAACTTCTGATAGTTTTATATTTAATTTTGATCACGATCAAGTTGATCTTAAAAGACTTAATAGGTTTGCTATTCACAAGAAATCCGGTTATGGTCCTTGTTTCGGTACTGAAGATTTACTAGCCTTTCCTCACGGTAAACGTTCAATATTATGGATGTCTAAGGATATTTCAAAATCTTTACCTATTATAGATTATGAAGTTTATCAAATTTTGGAGAAGCCAAAAAGAGCTAATTTGGCTGCTTCCACTGCTTCCTCCTTGAATTATAATGGTTACACTCATAAAAAAAGATGATCTGAAAATATTTGAGGGTGGATTTTGTATATTTACCTTCTCATACTTATTGATATTCTCTTGTCGTGGGTATTGATGTATTATTTTGTGTATTATATATATATTTTCTTTACAATAAAAAAAAATTTTTTTATTTTAAATCCAAAGATTTTACAATTGATTGATACATGACTTGTATATAAATAAAAATAAATAATTTATTTTTTTTTTTTTTTTTTAAAAAAAAAAAAAAAGGTAAAATAAAAAATACTCTTCTAAATTATTTTAATTGTTCCACAAAAAATAAAAAATAAATAAATCATTTTGGCATCCAATTCAATCACACCATACTCTACTTGATCCCAGTCCTAATGCAGAAGAAAAAACCGAATACATTCTTGTAATGATCACCATTCAATGTTTACAACTTTTTCGTCGGAACCTCCACGTTCAACTGAGCATGTCTTAATACTTCTCCCTTTCACCTTGGAAATTTCTTCGATCATATCTTTCAATACCTCCTTGTCACCTTTAACATTACAAATTAAATACCTAACATCGTGACCTTCATAACTCTCTAAGAAAGCTTTAAGGGCATCCATATCTAAACAATCATATCTAAAATCCAATTTTTTAACATTTGATGGAACTTTCTTAGAAAAATTTTTAATAGTATCAGAAGGCATATTGGCAAAGCCATCAATACCAAATAATTCGATTTTGGAACACTTCTCTAATACTTCATATATACCGGACATGTCAGTGTCGTCATTATAATAAGTGGTAAATGTGATTAAATTTTCACAATACTTTGCCACATTATTTAATAGTTCCGGGTGGAACGCCAACTTAAATTCCAGACTTAAATCCCTCAAATGCGCTCCATTATTCATCATCAACCCAACAAAAGGATCTATTTCTTTCTGTTCTGATTTATTCCTCTCATGATTATTATGAATAAAAGTACTATATATACGAAGGACTTTTAATTTTGGAAAGCAAGCATTCGTTAATAAAACCATCTTACCACGTAACCTAACACAAGTGAACATCAATTCTTGAAGTTGTTGAAGTTTTGTAATATGTTTAAGTTGTTCATCATCAATAGTAACATAATGTAATTTTAATTTTTTGAGGGAATGCCTCTGTGAAACGAGAGCTGACAAATCGATAGAAATATCATTACATTTATGATCTTTGAAAATGTTGATTTGTTCCAAAGAATGTTGTGATTCAATGAGCTTTGATAATTCAGGTAGTTGACCATCACGATATATGTGTCGAAAGATTTGTATGGAAAGTGTTTTAATATTTCTTGAAACTAATGAAAGTTTAAATAAAACGGGGAAATTTGTAGCTGCCAAGTTGCAGTCAAATCTTGTTAATCTTGCTAACGCATAACGAGCATTAGGAGTTGATGTCAAAGAATCAAAGATATAATCATTATAATTTGGAAAATGCCAATCTTTCATCGATAAACTTAATCTTTCCAATCTATTTCGTTGTAATATCACTTCATAAAGAGCTTTTACGACTTCGGCTTTTTGTTGTAGCGCAGATTTAAATTCATCTTGAAGAGTTGCTGGAAACTTAGTTGAATATAATTGATTCATCGTAATGTGATCAGAATAGTGTGATGTTGATGATGTTGAACATTTAAAAACTAGTCTCCACAAATTGACAAAGTCTAAATGTTTTATAAATGAAGGATAATCAAATGTTGTCTTCTTTGGTACAGGAAGTTCTTTCTCTTTGATTTTAAATTGTTTCTTTTTGTCATCATCAATGAATGACGCTAAAATTGGAATAATCTTATAATTATTCTGTGAATCAGATGGTGGTGAGCTGAATGGTTTTTTCCAAAGAAACGAAACTGTGTTTTGACACCATGTTCGATTCACTAGTAATGCAGAATGAAATGTTTTGTTATCTTTTTCTTCTACATAATTTAAAATATCTTGAATACATTCGTTTGGTAAATAAAGCGACGACATTATTAGTTCCTTTTAGAATTTGAGCTGCGCCGGATAAATTTTTATTGAAAGAGCGCAAAAAAAATTTCTATCACAAAAAAAAGTTATTTTTATGTTCAAATAATGTAACACTAGCCGTGTAGTCAGCTGCTTTCTAATTTGCATTACATATAACTGACAATTGTCGAATTTTAATGTTATTTTGAAATGGTTATCATTAGTAAGTTAAACTATATTTAGTCATGCACCGATTTTAGAATTATAATTGGTAGATCATAAAAAAAAAAGAGATATCATAAATTTATATTATTAAAAAATTAAGTATAATACCAAATGTGTTAAAAAATAAGTAAATTATAATAAGTATATTTTAGTAACGTTTTAATATTTAAATTTTATTTTTAAATGATCTTAAAACTAAAAACTTTTAATTATAAAATTATAAAATTCAAGTTTTTTTTTAAAAAAAAAAATTAAAGTATAATAAATAATAAGTGATAGATTTTATTTAAAAAAAATTGATATTTTTTTATCATTTTTTTTCAATAATCTTTCTACAATGTTATAAAATGAATTTATAAAATCAATTAGGCGGCTATTTTGTATTTTTTTTTACTTTTATTTAAAAAACTTTTAATTTACTAAATTTTTCTAGCCTATATAACTTCACATTCCTTTTAATAATTAATCCAATGATTTTTAATAAGTTATAGATATAGATTATTAAATGAATAATCCATAACTTTTAGAAAATTATTTTTTAAAAAAAAATATTAGTAAAATATTAAATTACTTGATAAAATGCTTAAAATGCTATCTAGATAAAGCATTTTTTACATTTTATCTTCAATTTTTTTTTAATTTTTTTAAGTTTTAGTAATAGTTTTATGTGAAATTATCATTAATAAGTGTATCTTAACAGCATAATGTACTTTCTGCCTTTAGAAATGTAATCTTATTTAATTTTACTTTAAAACTTAATAAATTAAAATTTTATTAAAAGTATATAGAAAGTTTTACTTGAAAGTAATATTTTAATTATAAGGCTTTTATTTGTATATTTATTTATTTATATATGACTAAAATTGAAAAAATAGCAAAATAAGAATCTAATACAGTAAAAATTGTCATTTTCACTATATATTGCTTTATTAAATATAATAAAAATTTTAAGTCAAATTTTTATATAAATAAAATTATTTAATATATCATTATTATAAGTTAAGTAAAAAGTATATTTAAGTATAATAAAGTATAAAAAGATAGTCTTATTATTTATATAATATAATAATATAAAAAAAAATTAAAAAAAAATAATATAATAAATAATAAAATAAAATATTTAAAAAATAATAATTTAAAAATTAAAAACTTAAAAAATAAAGGATGTTATATATTATTACTAAAAAACAATTCTTCATGTATATGAATTTAAGTTACTTTTGAAATAATAAGTAATTATTAAAGTTTACAATTTTAGAGAATTTTTCATGCTATTCCTTAAATGGTAATGATTTTCATTCAAATTTTCTATAAATAAAAACACAATTTTTTTTAATTTTTAGTTAAAATATGTTATAAAATTTATTATAAATCTATTATTTTTATTATTTTTAAATAAAATTTCATTTTTAATAATTAAAATATTAAATATATACAAACTTTTCAACTTTAAATTTATGATTTTTTTAGTAATAAGTAATATTTAAATATATAAATAAATGTTTTAAATATAAATTTATATATTTCCTAAAGTTTTTTAATATTATATAAATAAATAAAAATTAAAAATTTAGCTTTTATAAAGAAAATACTTTTATTAAAATATTTTTAAAACTTTGAACTTAAATTAATGCAAAAAATTACTAATTAATATAATTATTTTTTTTGATTTTATTTAAAAAATATCATAAATTTTATTATAATAATATTATTAGTTTAATAACTAATTTTTAATATATTTATAATTAAATTTGAAAGGAAAAGCATTGAAGGGATAAATATATAAAATTTCTTAGAATTACTTATATATAATTTAAATTTAAATACTTAAGAAATTTTATTTATTCTTAAAGCAAATTTAATGTATAATAGTAAATTATAATCAATTCTAATATTGAATATATAAAAATGAAAAATAATTATATCTTTAATTGATTTTCTTTAAATTTTAAAAAAAATTACAATTTAAACAAAGTATTATTTTATTTATATATACAAAATTAATTTGCTATAACTAATTATTTGTTATGTTATAAACTAACTAAATTTGTAATTACAAGTATAAAATATGATATAATAAATATAGTAAATATTAAAAAGAAAATAATTGTAAAAATAAATATAAATTTCAAAAATTATTAAAATTAAATGAATTAGATTGATTTGTATAATTAGAAAATCAAAAATCAGAAATTTATTATTGATTATAATATAATATTTAGTATAATTATATTATATATTATTAATAATTAATAAAATAAAATCAATTTATGCTATTAATAATATATAATTATATATTATATATTTTTTAAAAATAAGAATTATATTATTTATTATTATATAAATAATTATTTTAATAAAATTTATATGATGAATAAAATAATTATTATTATTACTTAACATAATTTTTCTTATATTTATGTTTAAATTATTTATTATAATAAATTAATTTTCTTTTTATAATTTTAATAAATTACACATTTTACAAATAATTAAAATTATTAGTTTTAGAAAAATTTAAAATTAATTATTCTGATTAAGGTTACTAGACGAAATTCAGAGTTTGAACAGACATCTGCAACTAAGGTTGCTTGTCTAAACTCATTTTGGATTTGGCAAAATGGTAAAACCTTTAGTTTCGCTAAATTTTTACT